AGAGTTTGTAAACGTATCTTCTTTGCTTTTTCGGCACCTTGTAGAGATTTTTTCAAAATCTCTCACACTTGTTCTGGGGTTTCGCATCAGATATTTTTTCAAAGGTAGATTCGTCTACTCCTTGAAAAATAAAGAATAACGCTCTTTTATCTTTTTTCTGGGATTCCTTCAGTACCTTCTTTTCTTCATTGATAAGAACTACTTATGCTGCTTCATTTTCAGGCTCAGTGTAACCATCCTCGATGATATCCCAACAATCTTGTGAGCCTAGTAACGCCTTCATTTGAATGCCCCAATTGACATAATTCGACTTTGTCAATCTCGGGATTTGAGGTTGAATCATGTTGGTCATCTTCTCCACCACGTTAAACTCGAACCAAGCTCTGATGTCACTTGTTGGAAGCGTAGGTGGGCTCTTGGTAATTTATAAAACTCGAAATATTATTGATACGAGGTAAAATACGTTACAACAACATTACCCCAATATTACAATATTACAACACTAAAACACTAGTTGCAGCTAGTTTACAAACACAACCTCAATATTCAAGTTTTACTAAGTTTTACCCTCTTTCATAGCTCTGCTAAGCTATCTCAAAATTTCTCTAGCTTTTCTAAGCTTACACTCATTCTTATTTTTCTCACTTGTATTTTTTCTTTTACATTACATATATAACTAAGCTTAGGATACACATATATATAGGTATAATAAACCTCCTCATATGCTTCTATAATCTTCTTGCCGCCATTTGCTTGTTTGCTTTTCCTTATGTTTGTCGTGTAAATTCCTTAATTGCCAAGCTTACCAACTCAACTTGAGTTGTTGTCATGTTTTGTTGTTGTTCACTCATATTATAATATTATTAGCTTAATTTCTAAGTAATTCATTAAGTTTCCCTTCATGATTGCTTGCCACGTTTTTTCAAATTATCTCCATATTTTACTTTTTCAACTTTCATATTTTATTTCTCTTTTTCTTTGTGAATACCACCTTTCTTGACTTTTCAATATTTAAAAATCAAGTTTGATTTCTAACAACCATCTCCATAGGAAGAAATGCATACACTCCAAGTAATTTCATCCCTCTTTGCAAACGCTCTTGGTTCGGAAAAGCCAAAGTGATCACCAACTCGTCCACATCCATTCTCCTTTCCACTCGGTTTTCTGGACTAACGGGAATCCTCTGCTTCCAAATATGGTAGCTGCATTCTTTTTCCAGACTTGCCAGTCTCTTCTTCGGCAGAGAGAAGGAGAGTATAGGACTCAGCATTGATGCTCTTCCTCGTGACAAAATTGGTCTCACTTTTAATGGCTCTGCCATTCACAGTATTGAAACTGGGATCCTCATTGTCTCCCCTTATAGAAAGACGCTTGATCTTCGAAAGGAAAAGCAACAATTCCGGTTCAACACTCGAGAGCTGTTTTTTCACACGATTGACCTTGTCAGGCTTCAAGGGAAGCACAACAACCGTGGTTGGAAGTGAAGAGCACGATCCAGAAACCTCTCTAATCTCATCAATGGTTGGGTTCTCATCAATCCACTCGGGAACAATGTACCCAAGACTGCAGTGGGGGCAAGGGGCTTCATTGAAGCGTATTTGATAGTCATTGTTGAATATGTAAGGTTGGGAACAGATCAAAAATACACTTGTGAACCCAATTCCTGAAAAGAAAAAACATCTTTAGAAAAAAATCTCAAACATTTTAGACTGCAGAAATAGTTTCTCTCTCTATAGTATATATTTGTGATTTCAAGTATTGCTAAGAGCATCTCTAATTCACTTTGCCAATATATGTATTTTTTAAATAAAAAATAACTATTAATTTTAAATTATTCATACACCTTTTCAAATATATTATACGCATGGCCTATGCAAGTGCATGGTATTAGACAATGGAATTAATATATTTTATTATCGAGTATAGTTATATATATCTCTAATATTCAAATAAATAAAAACAAATAACAAATGAAAAAGTTAAACGAAGGATAAATAAAACATGTGTACCTTTCTCCCCGATATAACCACGTCTTATGTTGCCTTTCTTAGTGGAGCGTCCAACACTGCAGACGGAGTCTGTGTTCTTTGAAGAAAAACCCTTTTCGTTGTTGAACATCAGCAACGTCGCCGGAGCTCCGGTCGCCGTTATGTCCCGGGATGTTATCACAAACTCCAGCAATGGTTCCAACCCTTCCAAATACTCATTGTCCTCTGCATTCTGCAAGATCATCACAAAGACTTAACAAACACCACCAACCAAAATTTCAAAAGAAAAAAAATAGACATTCGCATCATCATCTCAAAAGACAGCCTGAGTATATATTTTACAGTTTACACAAAGGTTTTCATAACTTTTCATATAATATTTGAAGCAGTATCATTATTATACGGAAAATAGTGAAAGATATGTTGGGGGGGGGGGGAAGACCTGAATGAGTTCCATAAGGAAACGGACATCTTTAGCATAAAGCTCGGCGGACAAGTTTCAAACAGCTTGATGAAGGTCTTCGGTTAATGGGTTGGGTTCTCCTTCGATAGAGAACTTAGTTTCCCTTATCAACTCTATGTGTTCCTTAGGTGTCGCCATTGCTAAAACAGTTCTTCTTTTTATATTTTTTTCCAGAAAATGGAAGTTGAGAGGAACATGTAGAGTTGAGGAATTAAAATGAAAGAGTGGGCAAGCTGGGTAACTTAAGGATTGTTGTTGTGTTTGGTCTTTTCAAAAGGGAGTGGAAAGGACAAAATTAAAGGAGATTCTTTTCAAAGTCGTCCTTTTAAGTTTCCCAGAAATTTGGTTAAGCAAAGTACAAAATTAACATGAGTAAATTACTGTTAAAATTACTTTCATTATATGTGTTTATTTATTATCATCAGATTTAAAAAAATAAAAGTTTTGCCAATTTATATAATCGATTTATAAGAATTTGATCGCTTGACGTTAGATACCGACTGGCATAGCATTTTAGTAATTACGTTGCAACGCAAGTTTCAAGTAGTGGTCCATGTGTGACTTACATTTAGTGGATCTGGTAACTTTTAGTTAGTTTCAATTAGATTATTTAACATTGTTTGTAACTCTAAAAGTAACCCTAAAAACATTGTTTCAACTATCATGCAAGTAATAATAGTTGGAAAGCCAGTTTTAAGATGTGATTAGCAAAAAGCTTACAAGCAAAAGTGATAATGTTTAATATTGTATACATTTATTATTATTTATCCCTTATTTTTTTAATTGTGTATTATTAATTTATCTTTATTTTTAACAATAATTTTATTGGATTAATTAGTCTAAAAAGTAGCATATTTCAATGGTTCAGTCATCATCTTCTAAAAGATAAACATAATTATGTTCAATATTTAATTGGAATTTCTAAGAGTGACTTCGGAAATTAGTTCACATGGGAGAAGAGCAAGTTACAAGGGTTGGCCCTTGTAGACTATAACCGGAAAAAATCTTGAAGTAAAATCTATTTCAACGATCGAAATAAATTGAGATGAAGAGAAGTTTGAGGCTATCTCTCATCGTAATTATTTACTTTTCTTATTATTCTTTTTTTTCAATTTATTCTGCTAAAAATTACTTTTATTTTTCTATTTTAGTTTTCTTGAATCAAGATAAATTCAAACTCTAGCATTGAAATTTTCTAAACCGCTACAGATCGACTTTTTCTTCTTTATACTACATTCATATCTTATTTAATTGAGAAAAAATATTTTATTTTCTAAAGCCCTACAGATCGACCCTTTCTTCTTTATACTACATTTATATCTTATTTAATTGAGGAAAAATATTTTATTTATTTAAAAATTACGATGATTATTAAAGATTCTCATACGCTACGACTGTAGTTTATGTTGATTATCCAGGAATGGTAGCAAATGCAACTTTGTAAGTAAACTCCACAATTACTCCACCTGCAAAGTTCACCTTTCTAGGTAAAAGTGAAAATCAGCTGAGTTGAAATAATAATGGTGGAATCAATACTAAGAGCTGCAATCCAAAAGGGTGAAGCCTCCTAGCCTTAGGCTTCCCCTCTCGGTCTCTGTTTCTTTATGGGTATGCAGCTGATTCTAAACTTTATTGTTTTTTTATCAAATTGAAAATCATTGATTAAGAATTAACTGATAAAATATCAATTCTAAACAAGAAAAAATATAATTTAAAAGTCGATTAAACCAAATAAAAACCACACTTTGCCTAGCAAACAAAAACAAAATCTTCAAATTTCCAATAGCGCCATAGAGGAGGTTTAGGGGCATGGGATTAGGTCTATTCATGGACATGAGTTTACACGTAACCTACCCAAGCAGATTTGATGATTGCACTTGGTTTTCCATTTGCAGGAACAAGGATTGGAATTGATTCTTCGAATAAGAGGAGAAAAGGATGCGCGTTCTTTGTTATTGCATCAAAACCATGCCCATATCTCATGGCTGATTGGGTATACGTATGAAGAATGAAAGTTTATGAACAGCATCTTGGAAACTGGGATTTATCAGTAACTGAAACACAAGTCAAACATCTCATTTTCCAGGCATGATTCCCGCAATTGAAATCAATTTAAAAGAATCGTCATTTTGCCAAATGTGTAAAGCTCCTGGCGGAATCCCACTGCTTACATCAGGACACCAGCATCGTCCACGGTTTCACAAACCACTTAAAAAAAGTCATTAATCATACTATTGATAATACACCAACTCTGATTTGAATAATCTAATAATTAAATCAATTAATTCAGTTGGATTTATGAAACCATACTTAATGATTCCAATAAGATGTTTACATGAAATTTCCTTCTTCTTTACTATATAAGTATATAGTATTAATAACATAGTCCTTTCACGACCAGAAAGTTTAGCCTTTCTTCGTGATAATTTGTGAAGAGTCAGTTCAACTAGTGTGCGTATATTAATTGCAAGAATCCTTCACTTTACCTAATTTCTAAGAATTTTTACCCATTTGTATGAGAACAGAAACCTTTGTTTTCATGGGTTAAAAGCTGCAACACCCACCACTTTCGTTTTTGGTAACGTTAAATGCACTGAAAAAAGATTCTTCCACTTTCTTCTATAAATACCCTCACTGGCTTCAACTATCTGTTGATTTCTATATCAGTTTTCCCCTGTTTTCTCTTTCATTTCAAGACCTGATCTCTTGCAATGGAACGCACTGAAGCCAAGTTCGCAGAAAACCCACATCGGAAAACGGACAAGGTTTCCCTTTGTGCGCAATTTGGCTTGAGAATCATGGCGATATCGACAGCTTTTGCTGCCACATGGACGATCGCCACCGCCAAGCAAACGGTGGTGGTTTTTGGCATGCAATTCGACGCTCGATATACATATTGTTCAGCTTTCAAGTAAGAAAGACAAAAAGAAACTCATCATAATTTACAAAACAGAACCCAAAATTTTATAGCTTTGAATCATTTTTTTTTGCAGGTTCTTCGCGTTTGCAAATGCCTTTGCATGTGCCTTCACTTTTCTTTCGTTGGTGTTCGTGTTCTTCTCCCTCCGCCATGGCTTGACTACTACGAGCTTCTTCCTACTGTTCCTACACGATCTGGTAATATCGATTTTCATGCACGTGTATAACACCGACTGCTTTTGTTTGATTTTTAATACCGTGTTGTTATACATTTCAGTTTATGATGTCGCTGATGCTTTCCGGCGTGGCGGCGGGGACGGCAGTCGGATACATTGGCCGGTATGGTAACAGTCACGCCGGTTGGATGGAAATCTGCGACCGTTTGAAGAAATACTGTGACAAGGTGACGGCTTCTATGGTGCTGTCTTATCTGTCGGTCGTTTGTTTGGTGGTGCTTACCGTCATCTCCGCCGGCAAGTCTCGACAAATCTAAGGTTTAAAAACGCTGTTTGTGTTTTAATTTGTAGCCATGACTGAAGATATCGAGGACACGTGATAGAATTCGTGTCTTTGTTAACTTTGTTAAATTGTATTCGTGCCTTTCTTGACTTTGTTGAACTCTTCTGTGGGTAAAACGTAAGTACCAAAAGTTTATCCTTCCTCACTGCTTACATTTCCTTCCCGTTTACCGCAGTAAATAACAAAAAGTACAAAAATGTCGACAAATGCGAGGAAAAATAAACGCTTGCTCAATTTTTACCTTTCCAACTGTACACGTTTTTTTTTGTACTTTAATTATTATTTTATATTAATCTGTTTTGTCATTTAAAAGAAAGGAAAATGTCAAATAATAATATCACAACAGAGTCGAGATGAAAATTTTGGGAGCATTTATAAGTAATAATAAAGTGAAATTCAAATATAATTATTAAATTTATTAATTTAAAATTTAAATATTAAATATTAAATAATCAAATCTAATTTACTTTATTTTAAAATTAACAAGAGCTTTGTCTTAACCGATCAACCATTAAAGAGGCTGACTTCTGGATCTTTGGAATTAAGGGTCATTAAGTTGGAGTTTGCGAAAACTAGTGATTCTGCTGCCATTTTGTGGATAATGAAAACTAGAGATATTTGATCTGAAATTAAGAGGTAGGGGGCAAGGTCGTATGGCACAAGATGATCTAGTTTCCTATGCATGTCCCTAAGCATGTTTTGATTGCTTGGTTTTGTTAGATTTGTCTAGAAGTTAAGTTGACAAGTTAGAAATTTCATCTTGGTTGGTGGCCAACTTATTGGAAATTTCATCTTGGTTGGTGGCCAAACTTTGAACATGTGAATTTCATATTTGGTGGCTAACTTGTACACATTGGAAAATTCTTTGGTAGATGGCCAAACTTTGAATATATTGTTCTTGAAACTCAACTATAAATAGACCTAAGTATTTCCATTAGATAGCATCCCAAAAAACAAGTTCTCTCTTCCTCTTGTATTCTTCATTCTCCCACTTTGGGAATTCCAAAGAATTCCATTTGTTGTAATATTGGCGATATAGTGAAGTTATCATCCGGTGTGGTGCCCGAGGAGTAGACGATATTCTCGTCGAACCTCGTAAATTTGGTGTGTTCTCTCCTTTATTGTTTTTTTATTCGGTTCTTTTCCATTGTGTTTCAATATTCAATAGTTTGACAGGTTTATCCGCTGTGCAACCTTTGGTGGTTTTAATCTTGACATTTTAGGTCAATTTTAAAACTACGTTCGTGTGGGAAATAACCAGTTTTCCCCAACAATTGGCATCAGAGTTTCGGTTGAGGTTATCCTGGTGGTTCCGTTGCTGAAAAGATACAGTTCGTGATATTGAATATTGTTCGTTAGAATTAAAATGCCAAAATACGGATCAGTTGAGACATCAAGCTCTTCATATGGACCGGTGAGGAGGGTGATGTCAAATGCAAATTTCTCGGTGGAGTTGTTCGATGGATCCGATCATTTTGGCATGTGGTAAGGTGAGGTGTTAGACGCTTTATTCCAACAAGGTCTAGACATCGCCATTGAGGAAGAAAAACCCGAATATATGGAGGAGAAAGAATAGGGAACAATCAATCGTTTGGCGTGCAGCACGATTCGATCTTGTCTTTCCAGGGAGCAGAAGTATGGCTACAAGAACGAGACTTCTGCAAGTAAGATGTGGAAAGCTTTGGAGGAAAAATTCTTGAAGAAAAGCTCTCAGAATAGTCTCCACATGAAGAAAAGATTGTTCAGATTTGATTATCAACCAGGCACCAGTATGAATGAACACATCACTGCGTTCAATGAGCTAGTGGAAGACTTATTGGGCATGGATGAAACCTTCAAAGATGAAGATTTGGCTTTGATGTTGTTTTCATCTCTTCCAGATGAATTTGAGCACCTTGAGACAACGTTACTACATGGTAAGGATAATGTTACCATTAAAGATATAACTGCTGCTTTGTATAGTTATGAACTCAGGAAGAAAACCAAGAAGGAGGGCAAGTACGAAGCAGCAGAGGCCATGGTGACAAGAGGTCACTCGAAAAGTCAAAAGCCAAAGTGGAGAGAGAGATCAAAGCCGAAGTCCAGACTGGGAAAAGATGAATGTGCCTTTTGTCATGAGAAAGGCCATTGGAAGAAAGATTGTCCGAAGCTGAAGAAGAAAGGAAAAGCTGCTCCAGATGCATGTGTTGCAGAGCATGATGCACATGACTCTGACATATCATTGGTTGCTTCATCAACAATATACCATTCCGATGAGTGGATATTAGATTCGGGTTGCACCTATCATATGTCCCCTAATCGGGAGTGGTTCTCCGATTTAGTGGAACTAAATGCAGGAGTTGTTTATATGGGCAATGAAAATGCCTGTAAAACTGTTGGGATAGGTTCAATTCGATTGAAGAATCAAGATGGATCAACCAGAGTTCTGACGGATGTCCGATACGTGCCCAGTTTGAAGAAAAATCTCATCTCGTTGGGAGCCTTAAAATCCAAAGGCTCAGTAGTCACTATGAGAGATGGAGTTTTAAAAGTCACATATGACGCACTTGTGATGATGAAGGGCATCAGGAAAAATAATTTGTATTACTACCAAGGTAGTAAAATTATTGGAGCAGTTGCAGCAGCTTCTGGAGGTGATGATTTGGACGCAACCCAGTTGTGGCATATGCGGTTGGGACATGATGGAGAGAAATCCTTGCAAATTCTGGCAAAGAAAGGATTGTTGAAAGGTGCAAAGGCTTGCAAATTGAACTTTTGCGAGCATTGTGTTCTGGGAAAGCAGAAGAGAGTGAAGTTTGGCACCACTATACATAATACAAAAGGTATTGTAGATTATATTTACTCAGATGTATGGGGTCCTTCAAAGACATCGTCTTTGGGAGGAAACCATTATTTTGTAACTTTTGTAGATGACTTTTCCAGAAGAGTTTGGGTGTATCCGATGAAGTCTAAAGATGAAGTGCTTCAAATTTTCCTGAAATGGAAAAATATGATCGAAAACCAGACTGGTAGAAAGATCAAACGTCTTAGGACGGACAATGGAGGGGAATATAAAAGTGACTCATTCTTTGACGTTTGCCATGAGTATGGTATTGTTCGACACTTCACTGTTAGACATACACCATAACAGAATGGGGTGGCAGAGCGTATGAATCGAACACTATTGGAGAAAGTTCGATGTATGTTGTCTAATGCTGGGTTAGGCAAGGCATTTTGGGCTGAGGCTGTGACATATGCTGGCCATCTCATTAATCGTCTGCCGTCATCAGCGATAGGAGAAAAAACACCATTTGAGGTATGGTCTGGAAAACCTGCTACTGATTATGATTCCTTACATGTATTTGGATCCACTGCTTATTATCATGTGAAGGAATCCAAGCTTGATTCGAGAGCAAAGAAGGCTCTCTTTATGGGAATCACCCATGGAGTGAATGGATTCCGCCTTTGGTGTTTAGACACCAAGAAGATAATTTTTAGCAGATATGTTACCTTTGATGAATCTGCCCTAGTAAAGAATGTAACAAGTGAAGCTGTCCAGACAAGTAGTACTCCGCAGCAGGTGGAGCATACTCCAAAACAGGTGGAGTTTCAGCAGATGATGATCCCAGAAGTTGATGAAGCTGATTCTTTAACTCCAATAGAAGAATCAGAAGATGAAGAGGTTCAAACCCAAGAACCATTGGAGACACCAAAAACACTTGCAGTTACAAGGCCAATGAGAGAAATTCGTAGACCTGCTTGATTTGTTGATATGGTGGCCTATGCTCTTCCAGTTGTTGATGATGATATCCCTATCACTTACCAAGAAGCAATACAAAGCTTGGAAAGTGATAAGTGGAAAAGTGCCATGGATGAAGAAATGCAATCTTTCCAAAAGAATGACACTTGGAAACTGGCACAATTACAGAAAGGTAAAAGAGCCATTGAATGCAAGTGTGTATTTGTAAAGAAAGATGGATCTCATAACAAGAAAGATGTTCACTACAAGGCACAGTTGGTAGCTAAAGGCTACGCTCAAAATGAGGGAATCGACTACAATGAAGTATTTTCCCCTGTTGTGAAGCATTCATCCATTAGAATATTGTTGGCCTTGGTAGCACAGTTGAATTTGGAGCTAGCACAACTTGATGTAAAGACGGCTTTCTTGCACGGTGATTTAGAAGAGGAGATCTATATGACTCAGCCAGAAGGATACAAAGATGGTGGTTGTGACAAATGGGTTTGTAAGCTGAACAAATCGCTATATGGATTGAAGCAATCTCCGAGGCAGTGGTACAAGCGATTTGATAGCTTTATGAGGAGGCAAAAGTATACTAGAAGCAAATATGATCATTGTGTGTATTTGAAAAAGCTCAAAGATGGATCTTTCATTTATCTTCTCTTGTACGTTGACGATATGTTGATCGCTTCGAAGAGTCATAAGGAGATAAACAAATTAAAGGCTCAGTTGAATCAAGAGTTTGAGATGAAAGATCTAGGTGAGGCCAAGAAGATTCTTGGTATGGAGATAAACAGAGATAGACAGAGAGGGAAGCTTTGTTTAACACAGAAGCAATATCTGAGAAAGGTATTACAATGTTTTGGCATGAATGAAAATACCAAACATGTAAGCATCCCATTGGCTTCTCATTTGAAACTTAGTTCTCAATTATCTCCTAAAACTAACGAAGAACGAGTGTATATGGCAAAAGTTTTATATGCTAATGCAGTTGGGAGCTTGATGTATGCAATGGTGTGTACGCGTCCTGACATTTCACAAGCAATTAGAGTTGTGAACAGGTACATGCATGATCCTGGAGAAGGACATTGGCAAGCTGTGAAATGGATTCTACGGTATCTCCAACAAACCGTGGATGTTGGTTTAGTTTTTAAACATGATGAAACACTTGGTCAGTGTATGGTTGGATATGTTGATTCCGATTATGCTGGTGATTTGGATAAGCGTCGATCAACTACTGGGTATTTGTTTACTCTTGCTAAAGCCCCAGTAAGTTGGAAGTCTACATTGCAATCTACTGTGACCTTGTCTACTACAGAGGCAGAATACATGGCAGTTTCAGAGGCTGTAAAGAAAGCAATTTGACTTAACGGGTTGATGGAAGACTTGGGAGTTGTTCAAAGTCACATTAGTCTCTATTGTGACAGTCAGAGC